AAAGGCACACAAATCATATGCCTATTCAAATAAATGGCAACAAGTGTATGATTATAACACCCATCAAAATAACAAAACAAAAATAAATGACTGCCAGATCAATTAAGTTAAAAAATAAATAAATAAATAAAAGAATTCGTGTTCTGGTTACAGAAATCTGTTTCAGAAAGCTAATTTCAAGCCCCCCCCCTCCCCCGGTCCAGTTATGCCGTGAGTATTTAAGCTTATCTCAAACATCATCAAACTGGAATCTTCACGACTTTCTAACTGTCACTCTAAAAATTACAACAAAAGGGATGAGAGAAAAAGGAACAGGGGATGCAAACTTACAGCACCAACCAAAGGATCATAAGCTTCTTCGACAAGGTATGCTAAAGTAGTTCCAGAATCAACAATAGTCCCTTGGTTGCCTGAAGTCGTAAACACCGCCGGATCAATAGGCAACACCTGCCCATTGACAGCTATGCTCTGTAGATATAAATTATAATGTGGCCTGAAAGATTGGAAGGAAAGAATCAACAATTTGCAAAATCAAGTTATGTAGTGATATCTCAATATTTCTTAATTTTCTCATGCTGGTAAACTGAAACAATAGAAAGCAAGAAAATTATATCGTCATAATCTTGTATGAGGGAGATGTGAGGGAACTGGTAATGTGCATACACAGCTCTATGCACTACAAGAAGCTTATTTCAAGCTCTCTTATACGAAGCCAAAATAAGATAGTTTCATGCTGTAAAAAATACGTACTGTGATGGAACAAGGGGAGTATAAACGATTCTCGGATCCAAAACTTCTCCAAGAACTAGTATACCTCCACCATTTCCCTCTCCTTTCAAGCAATGGGAAAACACTTTAGGAGTAATCCCATGTGATGACAATTGTGATATTACTGAGAGACCCTGCTGGCCAAAACCAAAAATTCCATCAACTGCTCTATCTGATTTAGTCAAGTCCCCGGACATAGAGGTGCTGCACCTGCTCCCAAACATAAAATTAACATTTCAACCAACTGTACTACAATTTTTACAGTTACAAACTACAGTTGAAGGAATAAGGAAGAACATATATTAAGCCCTCGTTTGAGCCCCATTCTTCGAAAAATTCATTTTCAACCACACATTTTTTAATAAAATAATATTATACGCAAACTCAAAACTTTTCTTTAATTTTTAACCACACATTTTCCATCAATCACTATTTAAAAATACATTCTTTCCCTAAAAATGGGGCTCAAACAAGGGCTAAATGATAAGACACATTGAACCCAATGGGTTCAAATGTTCTATTCATCTCTTTCGCCTTGGCTTCATATTGTTCAATTGATTCAGAATTAAACTAAATATTTTTTGCTCCTTTAGTTCTGCTCATACAGTTAACTGGAGAAGTACCCTTCAACTATTAAGTTGTCTCTGTGAATGCTAATCCAAACCAACTTGCAAAATCGTGATAGTTATGAGGGGTAGGGGTAGGGGTAGTTGTGATGGCTGATCGAAAAATACTAATTGAATTATATCTATATCTCTTCTTGTTTTTAAGTTTTAATTATTGATTCCAAATCTACAGGCACACATGCATCCGACCACTAGAAAGCATCTGTACAATAACATAAAAGTCAGAATAACAGCTCACCCGAAAACAATGGGAGCAGAAGAATTAGCAATTAATGAGGTTCCCAAAATTGTGTCAAAATAGAGCAGGTCAGATAAATAGAAACCAGCAGTGCCACTTCCATCTCCATATTGGAACGAGTAACCACACCGATTGCTTTGAGTAGAGCATTCAGCAGACGCAGTTTGGACTATAGAAGCACATATGTGGTCTGCACAGGAAATAGAGGATACTGTTGATGAGCTAGCAGCATCAAAGAAATTGAGCTCAACCTGCAAACGAAGCTAAAATATCAGTTTGATGTGAAACTCAAAAAGCTACAAAATTGTCAAATTCAACCAATGGAGGAGAAAACAATGAGATAAAGGACAAGATCATACTCCAAGTCCACTAGTCTGGGGGCAATTATTACACGAACTGCAAGTAACCCACAAAATGTCACTCCCGGTATCAATTTGCACGTTAAATTCTCTTGGAGGAGAACCCAATTTCACTTTGGTAAAATAAAGTCTACAATTGAAGAATCATTGATTAGAAAAGAGGAATATAATTTTATGTTATATTCTAAAAAATAAATCACAATAAATTGAAACCAACAAAGTGAGAATATCAACATTCAAGAATGAAATCCGACAAATGGAATCTGACAATTAGGAAAAGCAAAACCAATCAGCATTTCCGTTTGAAATGACTTTGACCGTTAAATACATACTATTTAAAGACTGAAATTATTATAAATTAAAATAAATCTGTTTTGAAATTGTTGAACATAAAGCAGCCAAGAACTATCACGATCACATTTTTTTCTGGCCCATTTATGAATTGATATAAAAGAACTCATGAATTTCTTGCACTTACTAGTTATTATAAACACAGCAAAAACAAGAATTAAAGAAACAATAGTTTACATTCCAAAGAGTCGTAATAATATTTTAAGAACCAAATATTTCTAATATACATCACTCACAGAGACAAAAAGTAAAGAAACAATCGAAATTAAAAGATGCATTAAAGTTACCCCACGAGATAGGGATCTGAGGTACCAACGACCGGGAAATCCACGATTCCACCGGCAAAATTCTGCAAGATTCGGGCGTGCCTCACCCTATCCCGAGCTTTCAGCGCCTCCAGCTCCACCTTCTGGTCCGCCGGAAACGCCCTCTCCAGAGTCAGCACTCTCTTGACACCGCCGGCACTTTCCGCCGACATAAAGGCGGCAGTAGCCACCACCGCCGCCACGGCCATGACCAAGAACCTCATGTCCACCATTGCCGGCACTCCAAATTCCCACTGTATAATATATATGTATATCCAAAAATGTATGTATAAATGACAAAGAATTATAGAGATTATAAACTATGAAAACTAAAGCATACAGTTTCCTTCATTATTTTTCCCTTTATATATTTCTTATATCTAGAGAGAGAGAGAGAGAGTAAGTTCTGCAGTACTCCGGTGTTCTACCATTACCCGAACAAGAAATCAGAGTATATAGACACGGAGAGAGATTTTCCAATTTTGTTTAATTGACGGCGTTGGAGTAGGTGAAAAGTCAATAATAGACATAGGTGATACATATTAAGTTGGGTTTAGCGAGGGTAATATGGGGAGGAAAAAAATACTCCGTATATTTGTAATTTGAGTTGACGTGAATTGGTTTTGGTCGTAGGGTATGTGCGTAATTAACACGCTTGAATTTCATGTTACCGTTTAAATATGAGTGAAGTAAGGGAGACGTAATAAATTCCAATTTTTTCTACATAGTTTTTAACGTTCACGAATATTTTGATAAAAACTGAATTTTTAATAAATTTTGATAAAAATTATTAGTTCCATAGAACGTGCGTTATTTTTAATTTAATATTTTATCAATTTTTTTTAGTTAAATCAAACTGAAGCAAATTTCTTGTAATGCTTGATGTGTGCTTGCTAGAAATAAGTGTTTGTTTGATAAAGATTTTTGAGAAATGATTTTTTGAAATATTTCTCTTTAACGTTGTTAAAAAGTGAGAAAATTTTATTTCAGAGAATTGAAATCAAACAAGAGGTATATATAATAGAGCAAAATCAAATTAAAGGGAAAAAAAAAAGTTTTGCTTCATTTAATGGAAGACTTTAAATGGTAAGTAAAATAAGTTTACTATTTAAATTCATTTTACTTTCTTTTTTCTTTAAAAAAAAAAAAAATTGACAACTTAATGCCTAAGTTTACCTTAAAGGGATGGAACTTCTTTTCACCGCAAAAGCACAAGTCTCGTGGCATATGTCTTCTTCTCATTCCCTTTTCCATTAGCAACAATAATTTACACCCATCCGATATTTGGCATAGAGAATCAAAAAATGAAAAAAGAAAAAAAAAAAAAAAAAAAAGGTTAAATTTATGTTTGACATCATATACAGATAATTCTATTTATGTATGCATAATATTTGAAAAATAACAAAGGCACGTCAATCTCTCTCAAGCATGTCACATTTTTTTTTTCAAGAATTAGGGTTTGTATGTTCAAATGTTCATTGATTACATTATAAGATAGATAAACTCGACCAAAAAAAGATTATAACTAGCCGTATATAGATTGTAAATTTCTCCTAGTCAGATAATAATATAACGGCATAGATGACAATGTAGGGTTGATGACTAAAAAAGGGGTTGGGACAATTCTTCGACTTTGAAAATGAGAAGAAAAGTTAGAAGTACTTTTGATATTTATACTTCCTTTTATCCAATAAATATGGCTTGGATAGGACTCTCTTTGTTATCCTTTGAATAAAATAATCATTACAAATTTAATTTTAAATTGGATTCTCAAAAATCAATTGTCAATCTAAATCACTTTTTAAACTAGTTAGTTACTTTTTTGTGTCTATCTACCTTTCTCATTTGATTATTCTTTAATATAAGCATCGACCAACAAGGCAAATAGAGTATAATTAAATATTCATATGAACCTCTTCAAATTTATTAGAGCAATGTTATTTATAAAGCCCTACTTGGATAAAGCAAGGCTTAAAAATTAGGGTTTGTTCGTTTGGTTTTTGAAAAGTCAAAATTTAATTCGAAAATTAAGAAAACTGCTTTTGAAAATATTTGGCTAATTTTCTAAAAATGCGTTGTCTGCCTAAAAAAGCTTTTAGGGTCCCTTTGATTGGCTTCAATTCCATGAAAATTATCATATCGAGGAATTCGTTTTCTACTTTGACTGTTTAATACGAAAGTGGAAATAAAGTTCGAATTTCAAGGTACACACACTTAAAGCATGTTTTTGGCCAATTGAGTGGAAAATGTATTCTTATGGTTTCAGTGGGTTTTTCTGTTCCAATTTACATAGAATTAGTTTGTTTTTATTACCTTTACAATCAAAGAAGACCTTAGAGAAACTTCCTCGTAAAGCTCTTTGCAAAAAGCAGAAACAAAAATAGAAATTCTGCCAAAGGACCATTAATTTATTATCTCATTATATGCAATATATCTAGTATTTCGATTTATTTATTCATTTATTGTTTGAGGGGAAACAATTAGGAATGGATAATGGATGTAGTGCAAGAAAAGAAGTACATTTTCCATCAACATTATCTAATTTAAAAGAGAAATAAGCAATAATTCAACAAAGCATACATTTCAAGTAATCTATGTGGACACCATCTTTATACGTTTTTTCCTTCTGAACATACATATGGACATAAATTAAGTAGGTATTAATATAAAATGGAGTCATAAACTTTCAAATGCGATCTTTGTTAAAAGCATGGGTCCAATCCAAAGACACTTTCAAATTTCAATACATGTGAAGCACAGTTGAAAAGGGGGGTTTTCTTATCCCATAATTCTGCCTAAACAATGATTAAGGAAACCCTTGTCCACATGTAAATTGATTTGATTTGGCTCCAACTCACAATTCAACCAATGCTTATTTTCTACCTACTCATCTTCTTTTTTCCTCTCTTGTTTCTTTAGCAAGTAATCCTTCTTTTCATGTTTATTTCGAACTACTTCTCAATGGTTACTCATTCTTAAGTCATTGCACTCCATTCATCATCCATCACATTTCGTCCCTCTCCTTGCTAATATGTCACACAAAAAATTCACGTGGCAAGTTACAGCCTTTATAAAAATTATAATTAGGTCAAATCATCCAATTAAAATATTTCATTATTTATTCAAATTATAAGATGATCATGATTTACTTATTGAACTTCAAGATGTTTTCCAATGGTAATTAATCTTTCAGACGTTGTAGCCCATCCATCATCCACTAGTTTTGACTCCCGTCGTTACTAAGGTGTTGCACGAAAATTTCATGTGATAATTTACAATAATTAAAAAGTACAACTCAATTTTAACCAAAATTGTCAATATGTAAATTTTGATAAACTAGATTTTGTATGAAGTGATATATTTTATGAATTTTCAAGTACAAGATTATTTTATTGGAAGAATTTGTAGTTAAAAAATCAGCTTACAGAAAAAAGAATTTTAAAGAATAACCAAACATGAACATAAGATTTAAGGCATTATACCCTGTGTCGTCAACCAATTTTGAATTTTTTAAGAGTAATGCTATTTAGCCTCACTGTAGTTGCAACTCCAATTTAAATGACGCTAATGTAACATTAACTCATAGGTGACATTTCATTTAACCTATCATTTAATGTCACATAAATTTGCAACTCCAGTGAGACTACATAACATTACTCTTTTTTTAAACCTCCATTTTCAGTGACGATCAATTCTTCCATAAACTAACAGAAGAGGCACAATCAAACCTGTATCAATAAGAACAACCCAATCATCATAAACAAACACTATTTGTTCGGACCTTAATAAGAAAATCCTCATGTTCCAATAATGCTACGCGAACTATGTTGGATAATTTTATAAAGGCCTGTTTGATAGCATGGAATTTCATTTCCATGGAACTTCGATTCCTTCTTTACCCTTTTTTCATTTAATTGACAATTTCTATGTAAAATAAAGTCAAACAAACACCCAAAGATAGATGATTTTCTTGAATTTTTTTATTTTTTTTTTGGTTTTGGCAATGGAAACAAATTTCATTTCCAATACCAGTAAATTTCATCAATTTAATTGACAATTTTCATGTAAAATAAAACCAAACGGACATAAAAAAAATACTTTTATTTTAACATTTTCCACGTGAAAAATTATACCAATCAAACACAATAATTTACATTTCCCAGGAAAACAATTCTAGACAATTCAATTCCCTGAAATTCGTTTTCTAGGCAATTTAATTCCATCTTTACAATCAAACGGACCCTAATAGATTGTTCAACCTCCTTTTGCCCTGGAGATTCCACGTAAAAATCAGTTCTTATTTTTTACAGCATGGAACAAATAAGAAATCGGATTAATATGTCGTTCAAATGAATAATGCTATTCAAATTGTAGAGTATACCTAATTAATTTGTCCATATGTATGCATCGAGGAAAAAGTAAAACTGAAAAAGTTACAATTGCAACACAACTAGATCAGATTATTGATCTGGTTCGGTTCACTTCACATCTCAATATGTGAGTTGAACAATATTTTTCAAGGAAAATGTTACATGTACAGAAATATTTTACAATATTTTGACATATTGCCAGCTGGCAAACATTCATTGGATGGTGGACACAACAAATTTTAACTAGGAGCATTTGCAAAAATGTCCAATTTTATATATACCAATTCAAAAAAGTCCACTTTTGATAATCTTTGCAAAAATGACCAAATTTGATACTAAATTCTCTATTTTACTCTTAATGAAAGAATAAATAATTTCATATTGCACATGTCAAATCACAATTAATGCTAGACACAAAAATATCGATAACAACATTTAAAGTGTAGAAAAATATCATATTCGGAATGAAATGTCATTTCAGACATTTAATATGTAAAGAACAACGTTTAAAATGTCGAGAAGATTTAATATTGTGATTGGACATGTGTAATTTTAAAATATAAACGGATTCAAATATCGATAACGACATTTGAAATGTCGAGAACATCATTTTAATGTAACTTTTTAGGGGCACTCGTCCAAATAATTGCAAAAATGGACATTGAAAAATTTTGCAAATGACTATGTTAAAATGGACATTTTTTTTTTTTTTCCTCTTTAAACTAACCAATGCAGTGTTGTCATCTCACCATTTGCAATGTTTTCTGTCATTTCATCTGTATAAATAGCGTTATTCTATTTTGAAGACAGCTCTTAACTTTTTCAAAGAAAAAACAAGCTGGCGACAGCTCAACAAAGATTTCAGAACAATTTTTGCTCACGAATTGATAAAGTAAACATGGTTCAGGGGGAGAGAAGATGTAAAATTTCAGATGGAACATTGTTTCTTTAAGCCAGACACTTCGTATCACGGCTCAGCTGGTCACAGATGTCTTCATGGCAAGGTGGGTAAGTGCGTGTTTATGGTAGGTTTGGCGTATCTTCTTATACTTATGTACAAAAGCTGTAAG